TTTTTTTTTTTTTTTTTTGGTGAGATAATTTAGTTTTTATTCTCTCGGCAAATTTCAATTATACAACACAGTGTTATCGACTATAATCACATTTTATTTTAGATCCTCGGATCTTGTTCACCTTATAGAGTGTACCCTTTTATCAACCTCTTCCTATTTCCCCCACCTCCCAGCAACCACTTTCTACTATTTTCTAATTTTTAGGTTCCGCATGTAAGTGATACCATGCAGTATTTGTCTTTCTCTATTTCACTTCGCATGATGCCTTCAAGGTCCATTATTGTTGTTGCAAATGGCAGAATTTCTTTCTTTCTCAGAGCTGAGTAATATTCCGTTGCATATGTATACCACATCTTTATCCCTTCATCCGCTGACACAGACTTAGGCTGTTCCCATAATGTTGGCTAGTATAAATAATGAGCAGTGAACAAGGGAAGTGCCAGCTCTTCCAGATGCTTTCATTTAAGAAAAAGTTTTTTAAAAAATGTTTATTTTTGAGAGAGAGAGAGAGAGAGAGAGAGAGAGAACGAGTGGGGGAGGGGCAGAGAGAGAGGGAGACACAATATCCAAAGCAGACTCCAGGTTCTGAGTTGTCAGCACATAGCCTGACACGGGGCTCAAACTCCTGAACTGTGAGATCATGACCTGAGCTGAAGTCGTACGCTTAACCGACTGAGACACCCAGGCGCCCCTCCTGCTTTCATTTTCTTCAGATATACACCCCAAAGTGGGACTGTCAGATGATATGGGAGTTCTATTTAAATTTTTTGAGGAACTGCTACGTTTTTCATATACTGCTTTACCAAACAATATACATTCCCACCAACAGTACACAAGGGTTCCCTATGCACATCCTCATCAACACCAGTTATCCTGTCCCTTTTGGATGACAGCCATTCTAACACGTGTGAAGTGTTATCTCATTGTGGTTTTGATTTGCGTTTCCCTGATAATTAGTGATGTTGAGCACCTTTTCATTTACCTATTGGCCATTATGTCTTCTTTGGAAAAGTGTGTATTCAGTTTCTCCACCATTTTTTAACTGGATTGTTTTATTCGCTATTGAGTTCCTTACATATTTTTAATATTAATCTCTATCAGATATATATGATTTACAAACATTTTCTCCCATTTTATAGGGTGCCTTTTCACTTTGTTGATGGTTTCCTTTGCTGTGCAAAAGCTTTTTTAGTTTGATGTAGTCCCACTTATTTATTTTTGCTTTTGTTGCCTTTGTTCTTGGTGTCAGATTCAAAAAAACCACTGACTAAACCAATCCAAGGATCTTAACTTCCATGTTTTCTTTTAGGAGTTTCATGGCTTTAGGTCTTACATTCAAATTTTTAACCTGAATTTACTTTGTTGTACTGTATAAGGGTCCAGTTTCTTTCTTTTGCATGTGGCTGTCCAGTTTCCCCAACACCATTTATTGAAGAGACTATATTTTTCCCTATTGTGTATTTTTGGCTCCTTTGTTGTAAATTAATTGACTATATATGTGTGGGTTTATTTCTCCACTCTCCATTCTGTTCCACTGATCTATGTATCTGTTTTATGGCAATACCATACTGTTTTGACTACTACAATTTTGTAATTTAGTTTGAAATCAGGGAGTGTGATGCCTCTAGTTTTGTTGTTCGTCCTCAATATTGCTTTGACCATTCAGGGTCTTTTGTGATTCCATA